GGTCACTCTCACCTCATTGGTGACAGGAAGGTCTTGATGAGCAGCTTGGCCAAGGCCACACAGCTAAGGGGTGGCTTCCACCTGTCACAAGTTTCCAGAAAGTTCTCTGCAGTGAACTGCAATCAACCCAATTCTGACCAACTGTAATTACACCATTTCCAGATAACACCTCAATTGTGAGGCAGTGGAAACACACCGTGTACATATTTTATGTGACTCTCGTCAGTAGTAAAGCAGCATGAGTTCAGTCCGGAGAACCCGGCCGGCGTGGGCAGCTCTGGCCTAGGGCGTCCTCAGGATCACCTGCAAGGCTGTCCTTCCCTCCGCCTCGTCAGGGGTCCAGCTCTACCGACTGGCGCTGTAACAGACGCAGGGCTCTGGAAATTCCACGAGTCTAGCCCAAGCTGCCCGTGGCCACCCATGGCCCGACCTGCCCAGGCCCCCTGGGAGGGATATTTCAAGCATCCAGAAGCCAGCCTAGCTGATGAGACCCCAGACCAGCTGTTTGCCACACATGCCCTCACACTGCAGGGTTGGCCAGTGCCAGCCTCAATCTTCTGCAGGGCCACAAGGTCAGCGCAAGACCCTGGGGGGCCCTGCCATAGGACAGTGAAGGTTCTGGCCAGGCTACTCTGCCCTCTGTCCCCGGGACCCTGGGCATGGTGCCCACTGTTGAGATCAGTTTCCTCACTAGGCACACAGGTGGCAGCAGGCCTGACTGCAGGAGGCCCTGGCACCCACGGCAGCCGGCACTGCCCCTACACCAAGAACACAGCACGCGGGTCCCGCTGCTCAGGCCAGGAACTCCTGTCACACGAGCTGTCACTCATCTGGACTTCAGCTATTCCTGGGAGTGACATCTGTGCTGAGGGGATGCTCAGCGTCTGCCGTCCCCAACCACCTTGGCAGCCTCGGTCCTCCCAGGGGTCCTCACGGCCTGAGAAAGCCGCTGCCCAGATGTCAACCTGGCGTTCAGGACACACGGGCTGCACAGCACAGTGAATGAAGGGCAGGGCGGAGTTCCAGGGTCCATGGACACTCGCTGCACAGCCGGCCGGCAGCTGACCCTGCTTTCTCACTGTCCACCAGGGGTAGTGATGCTGGCACCAGGTCGGCACCGGGCTAGAGACTACGGTCCACACATCAGGATGACAGGCGGGGGCTTTAACTCTGAGCCTGGGAAAACGCAGCTTTCCGCCAGTAACGCGCTCCGGCCCCCACAGCACAGCAGGGCACAGCAGACATCCCAGGCCGCTCGCGGCATGCACATCTGTGGGCGGTGAGCACACCCTGGCACCTACCCACCTTGGTGGCAGCACACGGAAATGCCCAGGGCTGTGGGTGAAGGAGCCAGCACCAGAACAGACGCAAAGTCAGGCTGGATGCAGAGGCCTGTTGCCGGCAGCCGGCCTCTCTGGTCTGGCTTTGAGGCTTCTCTGACGGCAGGTATTTCTGTGTTCTCCTGACCTTTATATCTTCATTACACGGCTGCGGAGACAATGTGCCCAAGGTAAGCCTGTCTCAGTTCGACGTCTTTTAACACGGGGAGTTTCTGCAGAACACATTTGGTTGTGCATTTCTTCACAAGTGTTTTGATAGCTACAAACATTGTAAAATTCAACATCCAGTGAAATATTTGGAGAACCCCTATGGCAACTTGGAAAACCCTGGGATTCTGAGGGACAGTAGCTCACAGTCCCAGTAAAATCCAGAACTTTCTAGAAGGAGATAAGTGCTTGCCTGGGCCATCTCAGCCAGAAAACCATGTCCCTGGAAGATGGGAAACTGGTTCCTTGATACAGCAGAAAACACCGATTCTACCCCAAATGTAGTTACTCACAAGAGGAAAAACCTGCGTATGTCAAAGAGAAATGTTCAACGCCGGACACCAGCCTTTAAATATCCGCTTGGCCCAGTGGCTTAAAAGCGGTTCCTTCTGAACTGAACAGAGAATCCCTGCGGAGATCAAAGGAGCCTCGGCTCGTTTGAAAGAGGCTGAGCTGGTTTTATGAAGCTGCGCTCAGGAGGCGAGGCCTCAGGGACTTCCCGCTGTATCTCAGGCTCCGCTGCGGAAGGCCTATTAGCGCCTCATGGCTTCGGCTTTACTCTACCTGTATTTCCTCGTGTGCTAAGTGACAGCATCAACGTTTAGAATGACTGTTTAATGCTGTGGAGGGAAGAGCTACCTTTTAAAATAATTACAGGCTGGGAGCGGTGGCTCACGCCTGTAATCCAGCACTTTGGGAGGCAGACGCAGGTGGATCACCTGAGTTCAGGAGTTCAAGAAACAGCCTGGCCAACGTGGTGAAACCCCGTTTCTACTAAAAATATTTTAAACATTAGCCAGGTGTGGTGGTGGGCGCCTGTAATCCCAGCTACTCGGGAGGCTGAGGTGGAGAACTGCTTGAACCCAGGAGGAGGAGGTTGTGGTGAGCCAACACAGTGCCACTGCACTCCGGCCTGGGTGACAGAGTGAGACTCTGCCTCAAAATAAAATAAGATAATTGCTTTAAAGAAAGAGAGAGAGAGCGAGCGGACGCTGATACTGCAGTCTCACAGAAAGCCTTGTAGTGAATAGCGCATCTCTTTGCACCAGTAGGTAGCCTGTGTTATCACACAAAATGTCAGAGTGAGCAACGCTTCAGCACAGGGACGCTACCAAACTTCCCGCGACGTGTGTGGGACAAAAGCTGTGCAAAGGAGCGATGAAGGGAAATGGAGACATGCCCACAGCCTACAACCACGCTTGGGCAATGTCTGGGCCAGCAGCTCCGGAGCCCTGTGGAAGGGTGGCTGCCCATGCGCCCCGCCGGCTGCATCTCTGCCTGGCACTCTCCCCTCACTTCCAGGCTCATTCGAGAGTTTCAGAGTTTGGGCTTCGTTGCTGCCAACAGACTGGCCTTATGCAACATGTACCCACATGTCCACTGACGTACCCATGATCACAGGACCACTTCTTTCAAACCAGCTCTGGGCTGTAGGGACTGGGGTGGATGAAAGGGAGGTGGAATCGCCAGCTGCCCCTGGCCAGGGGGTCCAGAGGTTTTCAGCGTGAACTGACTTTTCTCAGAATGCTCTGCAGGCTGCACAGGTGGGCGCCACGCAGCTGCGGGGTGAAGGGTCTCACCAGTGGACCGGCCAACCACATCCCTGAGTGAGACGCACGCTGAGTCTGCGTCTCATGAGGTTCTGAGAGTTGCCCCAGACCTCTGCTGGCAGGGGCATTTAAGATGCCGTTAAATGTTGAGAACATTTAAGAAGAAACCCCAGCCTGGCCACCAGCTATAGGGTTGCTGGGACTCACAGGGTCGTGGGGTGTCCCTTACGCTGTGCTCAAGTGCAGGATCCAAGATGTTAAGAGACAGGACACTAAAGAACTGGTGAAGAGCAGCTGGACTCGGGGGGCCACGCCACCTGAGTGGAGACAGGCGAGGCCCCGAACATGCAGAAGCGTCTGCATTTATTAGGTACAGGCAGGGGGAAGGGGCGTAAGTGAGGTCATCATCCATAGGCTTAGTGATAGGGCATACATAATCACGTGAGTCACAAGAGAGGGGGCCACCCCATTATGTCACCTGGGCAGAGACATGGGCCGTGCACAGTAGTAAAGGGTTGTGTACAGAAACGGGGTCCATCCCCATTAGATCGCCGAGGCAAAGAGGTGGGCTGTGTGCAGTAGGTGTCATGTGCAACACTTCTTATCTGGGGGTAGGAGACTTTAAAGTATTTCTAATAGGCTACTGTAAGCCAACCCAGTGGGAGCTGACAGACTTGTGCTCTTAAGATATTTATGGGAGGGTGATTTGAGCTAGCACAGAAAGGAGAAAAGACTGACAGGGTGTACAGCCGCTGTGACTGGTCACACCAGAGGGGTTCTTCTCCCTCGGCTATTTGCGGGATCTCAGGCCTGAGGCCGACTTTCCACAGGAACTGGATGCGAGGTATACAACTCCTTTATCGGGAGGAGAGGCTCCTGCTCCAAGCCTGCCATACAGCGTGTGCCCTTTCAGGCAGGGACGCCACCCCCGGGGTCTCTGGTTCTCGTCCTGGCCTGGCTGTTTCCCCATGTGCTGCTTCTGTTCTGTGACTGCTCCGGGCATTCCCCCCACTACAGACTACTGTATGGTTCTATGGAAGGATCCTATACATCAGCACTAAATGTGTCCGTACAGCTCTGACTACAGTACCTGTATGATTATATAGAAAGGTTATATGCGACTAAGCATGCTAGATGTAAGCACCAAGTATGACTATATAAACTGGATGTATGTAAGCAGTAAGTTATATCTCAGGCACTAGCTCTAAACTAATGCGCGATTATCTATAATCACATAAAGGAAACAGCTGAGTAATAGCACTATAAACTAAGACATTCTTCGGGCACTAGTCGTGCCCGGGTCTGGGCGGTTCTCCTTGCTCGGTGCCCACGGGGGGTGTCACCCACAACCAGCCAGTCACCTTCCCTGGGCCCTCAGGGGGCGCGAGGAGGCTGCGGGAGGCTCCCCGCGTTTTGGCAGGGGCTGCGCGCGGGGAGGTGGCAGTGCGCCCCGGGCATGGCGGCGGAGCAGGAGGAGCGGGAACCCTCCCCACCAGCGCTGCCCCGGGCCGGCAGCGGGAGCCATCGCCGTCCGGGCCGCCCCCCGGCCGCAGCCAGACGCAGACCCGCGAGCTGCCCGCGCACGGGGACCCCACCTGCCCAGCTCACCTGCGAGCTCCCGGGCCAGGGCCCGGCCGCCCCGCCTTGCACAGCCCCCAGCCGGTCCCCGCGGGCGCCGCCGGGCAACGTCGGGGCTGCGGGTGGGGCCGGAGCCCGGGAGCCCGCGAGCCCAGGCCGGAGGCTCGGGGCGGGCCACCGGCGCAGCACGCCTCGTCCTGCCCCACCCGCCCCGCCTGGCCCGGTGCCGGCAGGAAGGAGCGCTGCGTGGGGGTTCTCGAGGGAGGGCGGGGGTCGTGGGGCGCGGAGGTGACACTGGCGGATGTCCCGCCCGCCTGGAACTCACAGTACACGAAGGCTAGGGCCTTCAGGAGCACGATCCGGGTCAGCCAGAAGGTGCCCGCGTGGAGGTGAGCCGGAGAGCCTGCGGGGTCACGCCCCGGCGCGGGCGGCGCCTCGGGCTCCGGGGCCGAGTGCCCGGTTTTCCGTTTCCTCAGAGACTCCTCGGGCGCCGCCATTGCTGGGCCGTCAGGGCGCATGCGCAGGAAGGGCGCACTCCCAGAGGCCCCGCCCAAGCTCGGAGGCCCCGCCTCTCCCCTTTCGGCCCTGCCCACCCCCGAAGGCCCCACCCACACACTGGGAGGCCCCGCCCACGAGCCCAGAGGCCCCGCCCTCTCCCGCCGGCCCCGCCCCCGCAGAAAGCTGGTGCCCGGAGCCTCCGCCCCTCGCAGTCCTCGCTGGGCACTGCTGCGGTTAGGGCGCGGGGCTGGGTACCTGGGAGGTGGTGCGGATCGCCCGACCCGACCTCACTGGGGCAGGCATGCACGCGGGCTTTCTGTCGGTCCGCGTGGCAGAAGCCCAGGTGCCCTCCCCCAGCCATTCCCTCCCAACCACCGTCCTGGGGGAGGTGGACTGCGGACACCCTGGCGGTGCTGCCACTGCGTGCCCCTGCCTCACAGCTGACCCTCATTCCCACTCTCCACAGAGGGTGCTGGGGCGATCTTCGCAGCTAGCAAGACACAGAGTAGGCATGGCAGGGCCTGGAATGCGGGGGAACCCTCTCCTGCCTCCCAGCCCCAGCACCCTTCCGCCTTTGCCCAGCCCAGCTCCTGCCAGCCCTGAGGACTGGACTTCAAGCTGTGGCAGAAGAGGGGGACTCAGGACTCAGGAGGGAAGGACTTACTGCTCAATGCCCCAAACGGAACCTGAAGGAGGATGCCAGCAACTCTACACTCTGATGACTCAACGGGAGTTCCAGGGGCTGCTCAGAAGTGGGCGCTGGGAGAGGCTGGAGTCACAGGCATTCCTTAGAGGAAAGAAAGCGAGTGAGGCTGGAGTAGGCACAGGAGACCTAGGGGTTATTTGATAAAATGTGGGGCACGTGGATGGAAATCAGGAAGTACTGATTTCTCCTTATTTGTTTATCAGAGCTCTTTACATATGAAAAGTCCTCTTCTTCTGTGTACATTGGAAATGTTTGTCCTGGTTTTTTGTTTTTGTTTTAACGTGTTCTTGTCTTTAGCCCTTCTAGTGTTCCTAGTGTTTTGGCCTATAAATTATCACCACTGGTATGGCCAAATGACCCATATTTACTGCTTGTTTAATTACCTGTTTATATCTTCGCCACCTGTGGAGTGAGCCCTGTGTGGGCAGAGACTGTGGACATCGGGCCCCCAAATCCAGGCCTGACAGGCTATGGCCAGAGCCTCCCCACAGCGTCCAGCCTCCCCATGTCACTGGGGTCGTGGCATACATGTACAGCTTATGGTTTGATTTTAGTTTTTGTTTCTTTTCCATGAAAACCCCCTTAGGAGTCCAGCTATGAAATGAGACCTGTAAAAGACATTGCCATGGGTGTGAACACACCAACATCCTCGCACACTGGCCAAGCCTCTGGGCGCGATGTGTGCCTGACGGCTTGGAGCCTTGGGGATCGCAGGAGCCGTCGGCCCTGGCTGGCACCTGGCACACAGGTCCCTCTGCAGGGCCCACGACCGGCACCTCTCCTCGTGGCCTGGGCCACCAGCTTCGGAAGGGCCAGCACAGCCCCCACTGCTCCCCTCCTGAGTGGGGAACGGGGAAACCCCTGAACCCTTGGGTCATGCCTGCAGGGCGGGCCCTGTCTGGATGCCAGGCCTGCTGGGGACAGACGGTGAGAGGGAGAGCCCTGCGTCAGGTGTGGCCCCGAGTTGTCCTCAGGTGGGGCTGCCCTCACAAGGAGCCTTTGTGCGCAGCTTCCCCTCGCCGGGCAGAGCCACTCTCCCCAGGAAGGGCACAATGGGGCATTGTGCAGAGCAGAAAAGGGCCCCTTGTTCCCGCTCCCAGCGCCCCGGGCCCTGGCTCTTCGTCTGCTCAGGCTGGGAGCAGCCGGCGGAAGGGTCTGCTGGGAGCTGCTGTTCTCTCTGAGCTCAAGTTTCCCTGGGAGCTTGACCTCTGGGACGCTGACCGCAAGGGGTCCCATCCACGGCCTAGAATGGGTCCACAGCAGGCCACCGGGACAGGGCTCGGGCCGAGGAGAGGTGGACCAGCAGCTCTGTTTGAGCCCATTTCAGCCTGAATTTCATCAAAAGTGTACTGGGTTAGGATTCGGCCACAAAAAGGAATCCAAGAGCTAGGCACGGTGGCTCACGCCCTGTCATCCCAGCACTTTGGGAGGCTGAGGCGGGTGGATCATCTGAGGTCAGCGGTTCAAGACCAGCCTGGCCAACATGGTGAAACCCTGTCCCTACTAAAAATACAAAAAAATTAGTTGGGTGTGGTGGCACACTCCTGTAATCCCAGGTACTCAGGAGGCTGTGGCAGGAGAATCGCTTGAACCGGGGAGGCGGAGGTCCCAACGTGAGCTGAGATCCCGCCGCTACGCTCCAGCCTGGGCCACAGAGTGAGACTCCGTCTTGAAAAAATAAAATACAAAGGAATCCAGTTCGGACACATGTTACAAGATGGACGAACCTCAGAACATCAGGCTCGGTGAGATGGGACGGATACCAAGGTCACAGGTTGTGTGAGCCCATTTACCTGAAATGTCTAGAGCGGGCAAAACCACGGGAAAGGAGGCAAGATGTGTGGTCCAGGGCTGGGTGGGGGGGTGGGGATTGAATGTTTCACAGGTAAGACGTTTCCTTTTGGGCTGGTGAGAATGTTCTGGAACTAGGAGGTGATGGAGCCTCAGCACCGTGAGTGGTTCTCCGGAACGTGGTTCATGTCATGCTGTGCGAATTTCACCTCAAATTTTAGAAAGGTAAAATGGGCCGGGCGCGGTGGCTCAC